CACGGGCGGGCGGCCCCCCACCACTGCGCCACCAGGGAAGCCCCCATCAGTTCCCTTTATAATAAATCAAACCAGGCCCTCCAGGCTGGTAATTCATTCAAACAAACAAACCAACAAAAAAAAAAAACCCACCTCCATCCCCACAGGGACAAAGGGGCTCGGAGGACAGGACGTGGAGCCGTGAGGCCTGGCCACCCCCCTCCCCACGTGGAGATTCTCCCTTGCTAGCCCAGGGCCTTAGTCTGATTGTTTAGGAAGGGAACTGCTGGTTTCTCTTATATGCAGAACAGCTCACTTAGGCCTTGTCCCATGTTCCAGATGATGCCAGTCAAATCCAGAGAGGCTCAGGAACTTGGCCTTAAGGCTCAGGCCAAACATGAACCCAAGAGTCCTAACTTCAAGTGGTGGCTCCTTTATTGTGATGCTGTTGGTGCTCGAGAGCCCCCCTTCCCTGAGTATAAGTCCCTCAAGTTTTGTCCCTGGTTCACAAAGCAAGGCTTTTCTTTGTTTGAAATGCACTTCCTTGGAAAGGAACCCAGGGCTCTGAGACTAGGCACTGATGAACAAGTCTGGGTTTCTCTCAACACTATAAGGAGTATCCAAGCAGTGGGGCCCTTAGAGAATGCTGAGTGCCCTGACCCTCAACCAGGTTAACTGTCAGAATCACTTAGGGAGCTTTTTTTCTTTTTCTAATTTTTTGGCTGCGCCGTGCAGCATGTGGGATCTTAGTTCCCCGACCAGGGATCAAACCTGTGCCCCTTGTAGTAAAAGCATGGAGTCTTAACCACTGCACCGCCAGGGAAGTCCTGGAAGCTTCTTAAAAATAGTTTCCTGGATCTCATCCAAGATCTGCAGAGTCAGAATCTTAGGGATGGAATCTGAGAATGTTCTGAAAAAGCTCCCCCAAGTGGTGGTCTGATGGGCCACCAGCTTTGGATACCTCTGTTTTAATGCAACCCTATTTGTTTAGATGGGGAAACAGGCTCAGAGAGGAGATGGGACTTGCCCAAGATCACGCAGGGAATCTGAAGTGGTTCTGGGACTAGAACTGAGTCTCTGAGATAAACTGAATCATATTCCCAGCATGTTACAGAAATTAAGAGCTGAGCAGGTATCCCATCCTCAGGCCTCACCCTGTCATTTTGAAGACAAGGATACCACAGCCTAGGGAAGCAGAAGAGGAAGTGAGTGATCTGTGTGATGCTCCATAGAAAGTGGGTGGGGGACAGCATCACCCAAGAAAGCAGGCTCCCTGCCCTCCCAGGGTCAGCACCCTCATCCCCCATGGTCCCACACTCACCGGCCCAGGGGCTCTCACACTCATAGAGCATCCAGTGGTCAGCTCGGAAAGGGGCGTGGAACCACATGGAGTGATCCAAGGAGACCATGAAGTGCACCTTGTGCTGCCACTGGTGGGGCAGCAGTGCTGTGCCCAGGAAGGCATAGTCCGAGATATAGGCTGCCACGCAGCAGTGCATCTTCATGTCACCCTCCCCTGCAACAGATTCCGGCCCCATCAGCCCTGGGCTCCTGGGCTTTACAGCTCAGGACCTGCAGGGAGGTAGGGAGAAAGGGGCTGCCGTGCATAGGTGTGCAGACTGTTCACTGCCCAGGGGCACCTGGCCCAAGGTGTGTGTGTGTGATGGGCGATAAGGGAGACAGGGATGGGAGGGGGTCAGGTGCAAGTGAGGACTGAAATCCAATCTTCAGTCCCCAAGTCTCCCACCGTGGACCCCCAAAGTGTCTTCCAATTTGCACAAAGGCATCTGATGCTTAGCAGGGGACCTGGGGAAGAATCTTGGCAAGGTGCCTTGCCTTCCCCAGAAAGGACCAACATTAGGATTACAGTCACCTGCCCGTTCTCCCCATGCAAAGGACTGAGCCAACCTCCCCATCATGCAGATAAGTAAACAGGCCCAGAGTGGGGAAGTAACATGCCCAAGGCCACAAAGGGCAAATGAGGTACAGGTCTAGGCCCCCGGAGAGCGTTTCCTTTCAGGCCATGGGGTCCTCTTACCAATGTATCCCCGGGCTCGCACCCAGAACATCTGTTTGGGCTCCATGCTCTGCAGCTGGCTCAGAGTGGGTAGGTTTACCAGCTTGATCTCAATGGGCACCTCCCGGGCAGCAATTCGGTTCAGCCCCACTCGGTACTTCTCTTGGAGGTTAGGGTCCCTGAAAGTAAAGGGGAGAGGGACGGGGAGACCCAGGAAGATGGGGAGCCTGTCCTCTGAGCCGCCTCTTCTGACCCCCCTCATTCCTCCACAGGGACTCCTGACTTATCCCCAAAGCTCCCCTCCCCTCTGGCAGGCAAGATAGGATAGATTTGCATCCTTTCTTTGCCACTTATGAGTCCTCTGGCCTGGTGCAAGTTAGTCATCGCTCAGCCTTTTTCCCATCTGCAAAATGTGGATAATGACAGTCACCTACCTCATAGTAAATACTGTGGAGGAGACAAGATAAGGCATATGAAGCCAACACATCTCGCCATGCGGTATACCCTGTGACAGGCCCCGTTCCAGGCATTTCACACACATGAACTCACCCGTCAACACCTCTGTGAGATCCATGCTGTTCTCACTGCCATCTGATAAGTGAAGCAAGCACAGAGGGTGCAGGTGGCCTGCTCAGGAAGTGGAGGGGCGCGGGATTCGGAACCAGCCAGTCTGGTTCCTCGGTTCACACTCTTAACCACTTCTCTATTCTAACACTCAGGAAACAGGCTGCCCTACTTGGACTGACTTACCTAACCCTGAGCAACTGGGGACGCTGCGTTCCAGGGAGAGGAGCCCATTTCCAGGGAAGCCCCTTTGCCACAGTAAGGACCACCCCTTGTGCCCCTAGGCTCTTCCCCGGTATTTCCGTTTCCATCCCTATCCTTTCGAGCCCTGTCTGACAGAACCTTCTGTGATGATGGTATGGTCTACAGCTGCACTGTCCGCTGTGGTAGCCACGAGCCACATGTAGCTGTTGAGGGCTTGAAATGTGGCCAGTGTGACGGAGGACCAGAACTGAATTATTTCTATTTAACGTTAATTAACTTAATACAGCCACCTGTGGTTAGCGGCTTCCTTATGGGACACACAGCTCTAGATTCAGGGACCTTTAAGAACAATGTCCTCCTTTCATTTCTCAAACATTTTGGAGCTCTGACCGCATACCAGGCTCCATGCTTATTCCTCTCTGTCAAGAGTGATGTAACTACAATTTACTGAGCACTCACCGAGGGCCTTGTTATCTTGTGTAATCCTCACAGCAGCCTTACAAGGTAGAAATTCTGATTGGCACCATTTTACAACTGAGGACACAGGCTCAGAGTGGAAAAGCAACTTGCTAAACTCACACAGCTGGCAGGGGCAGAGTCTAGATTTGAACCCAGGCTTTTCCTAGGTGCAGATGCACATCTGTTCCATCACACCGGGCTGACAGCCCTGACTGCTGCACAAGGCAGCGGGGGTCTCCTTACGATAGAGCTGTGAAGTCTGCAGGGCAAAAACAGCCATTCCCATTTTTTAGATGAAGAAGCAGGGCTCTGAGAGGCTGGGGAGTCGAGCAAAGCAACACAGCAGGTGGGAGGTGGAGCCCTGGCCCCAATCTATAACCGAGCAGGACCCTGTGGATACCTCTGTCAAGTTTATGATTAACCTCCTTATCTGAACCTTTATTCCTTTTATTGTTCAAAACCTGTTCTCCTCGAGATTGAGGAGGGGAACTGTAACCGACCAGGACCCTATGGGGCCTTCCTGGGACAGGCCCTTCCCCCATATCCTGTGCTTTACTCCCTGAAGTACCTAGATAACAGTATATGATGCACATTTCCTGAGTTGTTTTACAGATGCTAAACACACCCCGCCCCCGAGCCAAATGAAAGATGTTAACTACTTGATGCCCATGAGCACACAGCCCCAGGCCTCCTGGAGCCTAAGGACTAACAATGTTAACTCCTGTGACGCTGCCCTTTTACCTCACCATCAGCCAATCAGAGAATTGTTCATGAGCTGATCACATACTCTGCGACCCTCCTCCTTTACCTGGCTTTTAAAAATGCTTTGCCAAAACCCTTCAGGAGGGACTTCCCTGGTGGCACAGTGGTTAAGAATCCATCTGCCAATGCAGGGGACATGGGTTTGATCCCTGGTCTGGGAAGATCCCACATGCTGCGGAGCAACTAGGCCCGTGTGCCACAACTACTGAGCCTGTGCTCTAGAGCCCTTCAGGGAGCTTGGGGTTTTTTAGAGCATAAGCCACCCATCTCCTTGCATGGCCTTGGAATAAACCTTTCTCTGCTCCAAACTCCGATGTTTCGGTGGGTTTGGCCTCACTGTGAAAGTTGGGCACATGGACTTGCCATAACAAATCCACGTGACTTGTCCTGTGTCAGGACCCAGAGCTCTTTCCACTGCCCCAGCATTTTTCCAACTTTATTAGCTGTGATTCAAACCTATTTTACCAGGTGACATTCAAAATACTTAACATGCACTAAGGCAAAGGCAGCAGGGCCGCAGCTCTGCAGCAGGACCCTCACCCCTGGCAGGCGTTAACTCCTAGGCTGCTGGGTCATGGGTGACCCTGGAAGAGAAGGGGGACCACTCAGGGACTGGGGAGGTATTTACCAAGTTATAGAAGTATTTCAGTATTTAAACAGTAGGAAAGCTGTAACAGTACCTGAACTGGCTGAATAGGAAGCCCTGCATTTTACACCATGATCCAACACCCACCCATGGGCACACATGCTCTCACACACAACTGAAACTAATGTTTCACAAAAGGATGCCTACCCTTACTACAGGCAATACACTCTACTATCTTCTAGTCCAGCTTCCCCGTGCCCCGCCCCGACCCCGGCCATGCCTCATGGCTCGTGGGATCTTAGTTCCCCAACCAGGGATCGAACCCGTGCCCCCTGCAGTAGAAGCACAGAGCCCTAACCACTGAACTGCCAGGGAATTCCCTAGTCCAGCATTTTTAAAATGCTGGCCGAGGGCTTCCCTGGTGGCGCAGTGGTTGAGAGTCCGTCTGCTGATGCAGGGGACGCGGGTTCGTGCCCCGGTCCGGGAGGATCCCACATGCCACAGAGCGGCTGGGCCCGTGAGCCATGGCCACTGAGCCTGTGCGACTGGAGCCTGTTGCTCCGCAACGGGAGAGGCCACAACAGTGAGAGGCCCGCGTACCGCAAAAAACAAAATAAATAAATAAAATAAAATGCTGGCCAAGATCAACTAAAGGACTCCGTGGCCTGCTAACAGGTGGCGACTGCAGTTTGAACACTGTCCTGGGACCTTGAGGTCTCTTACCTTAAATACTGGTTAATGAGGGCCTCGTGGCCAAGCAGCTCTTCCGGCGGGGGCACGGTAGGCATGGAGAACTGGTGCTGCACAGGGCTGGGCTGGGCCTTCTGGAAGGAGGCCTGGCAGATGAAGATGGGCCTGCCGTGTTGCACAGCCTTCACGGAGCGCACGGAGAAGCTCAACCCTGTTCGCGTCCGTTCCACCTGGTACAGCACTGGCACCTTTGGGTCCCCTGCAGCAGGCAAAGGGCACACAGCACACGGTGAGCCCAACTGAGCCCCGTAGGCCCTCTCACCATCACCATGGCTGGACAGGCCCCTCTGTTGCTTGTTCTCCATTCCTTTTCTGCTTGGTAGCTACTGACTGAGGCCTGATGAAGCCCAGTTACTGGCGAGAGAACCCTAGACCTTGTCATTGGGATGCTCCCAGTGCAGGTGGAGATCCTCTCCGTCAATAGCACAGGACAGAAGGGACACTGCCAGATTCCCTGCATTCAAAGTCCAGCTCTGACACTCACCAGCTGTGTGACCTTGGGAAAGTCACTTAACCTCTTTGAGCAGTTAACGCATCTGTGAAATGGGGATCATCATAGTGTCATACCTCTCAGGATTTTAATGAGGATTAAATTAGTTCAGAGTCGTAAAGTATTCAGAATAATATCTGGCACGTAGTAAGTGCTCTGTGTTTGTTCAATAAAATACTCTCAGCTTTTGTCTTGTTCCTTCTGTGACTGGGATCTTGTCATGAACCCGGTACCATTCTTCTAGATCAGGGGTCAGCAAATCTGGCCTGCTGCCTGTTTTGTTTTTGTTTTTCTTTTCTTTCTTTCTTTCTTTCTTTTTTTTTTTGTTTTTGAGAACAAGCAAAGGTTATTTATTCAGAGTTTAGTGCGTCAAGGGAGTCAGCCATAATCACTTCGCTTGGCAGAGACTCAAAGGCACACGGAGGAGCGGGAAAGCTTTATAGTGAAAAAAAAGGTTTCAGGTATGCCCTGCTTGGAGGCTGCTGGCATGGTGATAGGCAGGCTAACTAGAAGCAGGGCAGCCGATGTAATTGGTGATGTTTGGCTTTCCCCAGTTAGTCCTAAGTTGGAAGCAGGGGCAAAAATTAGGGAAGCTCTCAGTTATTCATCAAGTCCTGGCCATTAGGGGCCGATCATTACAGGGACTATGGTTTGGCTTCCTAGACTGGCTGCTAGAAATGGTGGTCTGACTTCCTCCAAGCCTGACTTGTAGATAGTAGGTTGGCTTCCTGTGCTAGTTGCTACCAGCTGTGGCTCAGAGTTCTATTTTTATATATGGTTTGGCCACTGTCTGATATTCATTCTCCCAGGAAAAGCCTGCTGTCAGTCCCTTCACCCCTAATGCAAATGGAAGTCACCTGACCCTTCTCCTTCGCTATCTGTGCTCACAAGACAGGATGGGAGACACTGGCCCCAGCGCGAGGACTGTTAACCCTCAATGAACAGGTCGGGGAGGGTTTTTAGAGAGAGTTTTCCTGGTGTCCCTGAAGTTCTTTAGTCTGAGTCAGACCGACCTTGGAGAACCCTGACATCTAAGTGGTAAGATGTCTTGGGGATGATTTTCAACTTTGAGATGAAAGAAGCAGGTCTAGAGAAGCATTGCTTCCTCCACCCCATCCAAATGGGGAGCCCGTCAGGCACTGGGGGCTCATTCAACAGTAATAAACACGCCTATGAAGCCCTGAAGCCCAGCGGGTTTGCTCAGGTCTGTTAGCCAGCAATGCCAAAGGGGCATTTTTAATCAGAATGGGGGCTCCTCAAGGCCAAAGGCCTTTGTGAAGGGCTTCCCAAGAGTCCAGAAATGAGACAGCTACATAAGCAGTCTGATTTCAGGGGCTGGGAAGGAGGCCTCCCTTCCCTATCAATGAACTATAAAAAGAAGAAAAAAAAAGCTGTCATCCAATCCTTGGGCTGCAGCTAAAATTCAGTATTTTCAGTTACTAGTGATTTACCTTTCAGTGTGAATGAGTTCCAGACCTGTTTTTTAAAATTTGTACTGGAACAGAGCTGGTAGGCTCTGCAGTATATTGAAGGAAGCAAGATAACAGTTATGGAGTGAGTGCATTAGTTATGTGGACCTGAAACAGACAGCCAGATACCTCTCCAGCAAAGATGGGTTTCTTCAGGATCAGCAGAGAAATGCAATTCGGGGTCTGCAACCACAGTGAGCCACATGCAAGTCCCCGTCCAGCAAGAGGAGAATGCTTTTATAGAGGGGAAAAGGGAGGGCTATAGTATAGTACAATTGGGAGGGCCCTAGTAAACAAAGAGCCTATGGTTTTTCATTGGCTGAGTCCTTGCCAGAAAGGAGTCTTTTTCCTGTTGGGCTCTGCTATTGTTACAGGGCATGAGCGCTCCACCCTCTGGTCTCCCAATTCTACTTAATGGAGGTTTCTGTTTATGGATTTTTTTTTTTTTTTTTTTTTTCAGCCCGCGGGCCTCTCACCGTTGTGGCCTCTCCCGTTGCGGAGCACAGGCTCCGGACGCGCAGGCTCAGCGGCCATGGCTCACGGGCCCAGCCGCTCCGCGGCACGTGGGATCTTCCCAGACCAGGGCACAAACCCGTGTCCCCTGCATCAGCAGGCGGACTCTCAACCACTGCGCCACCAGGGAAGCCCTATGAATTTTTTTTATTGTTGCTAAGGTATCTTTTCTCACGTTGGTCTCACGTTAACTATGCAAAGTGGGTCTTAGCACCATTGTATAGCTAGGGAAACTGATGCCTAGTAAATAACATTTTTTGGAATATGGCCAAGCCCATTTGTTTACGTACTATCTGCTATTGCTTTTGCCCACAAAACCTAAAATATTTACTCTGCCTTTACAGAATAATGTTTTTTGACTCCTGCTCAAGATTCTCCATGCTTTAAACCTATACCAAGTCAGATAACACCTGTATTACCTTCTTCTACCTATCTAGAGAAATACTTTTTTTCTTAATTTTATTTTTGGCTGAGTTGGGTCTTCGTTGCTGCGCATGGGCTTTCTCTAGTTGCGGTGAGCGGGGGCCACTCTTCATTGTGGTGCGCAGGCTTCTCATTGCGGTGGCTTCTCTTGTTGTCGAGCACAGGCTCTAGGCGCGCGGGCTTCAGTAGTTGTGGCTCGCGGGCTCTAGAGTTCTGGCTCAGTGGTTGTGGCACATGGGCTTAGTTGGTCCGCGGCATGTGGGATCTTCCCGGACCAGGGCTCGAGCCCATGTCCCCTGCATTGGCAGGCGGATTCTCAACCACTGCGCCACCAGGGAAGCCCTGAGAAATACTTTTTTTAATCAAAAAACAAACAAACAAAAAACCCAAACTGACTAACATTCTATACTAGGCTTTTAGAAAGAGAATTGATATGATAAATGGCCAAGGACCAACACCTCCACCTCCCAGTATCTTTTAATTAAAAATATCATTAGCAACACTGTAAAGCAACTATACTCCAATAAAAAAATTAAAAAATATATCTATATATCATTGGAGCACCATCATTGTTTATAAATCTTGATGTACCTGGTAGAGGGTCACATCACAAACTAATAAGAGAGCTTCCCTTTTTGCCTTGCTGCCAGGAAGCTCGGAACTAACTTTTGTATAAAACTGCAATGACATGCCTTAGCCTAGTATTTTGACACAATTATTTCCCCCAAATCCCATTACTACTAGCCTCCTGGCCCTTGACTTTTATTTATTATTACTTTTGAAAATTTTGTCCCAGGGAATTCCCTGGCAGTCCAGTGGTTAGGACCCCACGCTTTCACTGCTGAGGGCACGAGTTCAATCCCTGGTCTGGGAACTAAGATCCCACAAGCTGTGCGGCCCGACCAAAAAATTAAAAAATTAATATCCTTCTTAAAATAATTGTTTTGCCCCAAATGTTTTATTTTTTCCCATACTTAATTTTTTTGCAGACTATATTCCATTATAGGTTATTACAATATACTGAATATAATTCTCTGTGCTACACAGTAAATCCTTGTTGCTTATCTATTTTATGTATAGTAGTTTGTATCTGTTAATCCCATACTCCTAATCTGCCTTGACTTTTATTTTATTTTAAAAATTAATTAACTGGGGTTCCCTGGTGGCGCAGTGGTTGAGAGTCCGCCTGCCGATGCAGGGAA